CATATTGATATTGATCACATTCTCGTGATAACGTGTAAGTTGCGCCAATTATCCGGGGTAGATTGTTTTCTACAATAGCGCGCTTATGTTGGGTGTGTGAGGCAGATACTTAGTATAAGCCCGCTTCTTACTGATCAGATCAGTTTAAGTTCTTGTTGGGCATCTCATTGATGATCCATCCTTCAAGTATTGAATACGCCCGTAAAGGTGAGAGTTGCATTAACCTAGAACACTTTCCTGGGGGTATTTGAAACTAAAAATTGGCATTCCAGCTCAGCAGCCAATCAGCGACGGCCTAACGATTAGATGACAATTTCGGTTTCAAATACCCCGGCTTAGTGTTCTAGGTTCTTCTCGTAATTAGGTGTTCGTATGCAAGGGATTTTTCCACACAAAAACGACGAATTAGGCCGAATTTTGTTATCGGTTGGCCTAATATAACCCCAACGGACCGTATTTTTGTGAAAGATTGGTATTTTTGTCCTGATTTGTAGGAATCTGAAAAACGCGTTTCACAACTTGTCTCTTATTTAGTTGTATGCGTCATTCAAGATGGCGGCCCCCATATAGTAAATATCGTATCTATTTTATTATCACGTGTGCTCCAGCTGACTGTGACTACGGACGACTGACTTCGAAACGTTCCATTCAGATCGGACGGCGCCCTCTCGTGCGTGAACACGTGTTCTTTCGAAGACAGCCACACTCGATATTTCAACCGGAGATCGTTCGCGTTTCCACCTCTAGTGGCCACTGCCGTCACCTACGTTACGACGCGACGCCTGTGGTGCCTTAACGTCAGCGCCAATTAATCTGATTTGGTATAGTAAGTAAGGTTTAAAATGGTGACATTTTTATATATTACAATGTGTGTTAGATAACCATAGAACATTTCACTATCAAACATTTCAGCAATTGTTTGTATTTGACGAGGCTAGAATCTTTTACAGTGAAAGCGACACATGAGCCAATATATCGTTAACGGAGCCAAAATATATACCTGTTTCTGGTCTGTTCACATATATTTTGAAAAAAAAAACGAAAGAAAGGATTAGAACTGTGCATTGAGAGCAAACATCAAAACTCGACCCCTATCAATATGAATGCTTTCCACACAGGTTCGACTATCTATGACGATGACTATGTCACCGGGTCACATTCCTGAAAAGTAGTATACCACCCGAATTGAAATCAAAAGAAATACCGGGTATAAATCACATCTTGTAATAGTTTAAATTCACAGAATCACCTATACTATAATTATAGCTCAATAATATTAGTGTAATCATAGCAGGTACAAGACAGAATTTGATTGGTCGAAGAAACCTGCATAGGCGCTCTCTTATTGGTCAGACTGCTAAGTTTCTGGATGGCACAACCGTGCAACTTATAAGCACCTCCATGTTATAAGTAACTTCGCATTGACTGTCTTTCTCCAACTTCTTTAAAACTCAATATATATTACACGCAGTCAAGTTGTATAACGTTTTGAATACTTAAACTATTTTTTTGTACTGGCAGTTGATTTCACTATTTTTTATACAATCTAAGCATAATTACTGGATTTTTAAGTTCACGAATTTGTTGGGAAAATTTGCTGAGTTCTATCGTTATTTTTACATGTTCACGTAATTTTAATTTAGCGGGTTTGACTTGTCAGTGAAAACAAAACTTGAGAGATAAGATCCCTCCAATCAACCAACTGTCGCTTACGACCTGTTTACCACTTCCGTGTGACTGAGAATGTTCTAGAACCGTACTGTGTCTGGGTGGAATTTTTAGAAGCTGGTTGAACAGGTAATAGGACACTGTAGAAGGCAATAGAAGGTAATGGAACATTCTAGAAATTTGTAGTAAATTCCAGACTCATTATGTATGCTGATGTAATGGTCTATTTATAGACAGTGGGTATATATAGGGGAGTTGTTCAGCACTGAGATCAGATCGGAGATCTCGTTGAATTGTATTGGAGTTTAAGTATCTAGTTATATGAGTAGTGGAGTTTTACCGCGTTATGTACTTGATGTTTGCAGAGTATAATAATAGCAGTACCAGTTGAAACCTCATCTGTTGGCTTCGTGTTCGTATTTTATCATCGCCGCCAGGGAAGTCTTTTTGTTACTGTTGCCATTTTGGTATTTGAACCATCACACCTGTACTATACCAATTACGGTAATATTACGTTGCGTGTGACACCAACCAACCAACCCCGGTGTCCGATAGGATGTCCTCATGTGAAAAGTTGTTTTTGGGTCATCCTATTTGCAGGCAAATGCTAAAAATAAGAACTCTCATGCGACAATGTAACGCGTGAATTAGTACGCGTAATCAACACCATGGTACACGTGCACTAATAGGCAGCCAATAATAGTTACCACTTTGACTGATTATGCAAAGTTGGTCGCGTTTAAATAGCCAATTGGATTTAGAATTAATCACACCTGGTGATAGGTCATTGAAGCCTGTCTGCTTGGAATCTTTAACAACTTGCTGAGCTGCTGCAGAAAAAGAAGTGAGTACTTTTTTCCATGAACTTGGGCTTACCTTACCAGATCACAATGCTTCTAATAATATGTGCGAAAAAAGGAGTGTATGTAGTCGAGACTATTTGTAGACACACGTTAAAAATAACACATTTACACACAATGTAATGTGTGAATTGGCTCCCGCAATCGACACCATGGTACTCGTGAAAATGTGTGACTGCCAATCACATTCATCCCCTTTGTCTAATTACACATAGTTGGCTGCGTTAGCCAATGGGATCTCGAATTACTATCACCTGAATCACACCTGGCGATTCACCGTTCAAGCTTGACTGTTTGTTTGCTTGAGTTGCTGCAGCAAAAATAAAGTAGGTTACATTTCCCTTAATCTCAGGTTACCATCACCAGCTCCCATTGGTTAAGTTGCTTCTAATAACCACACAGCTACTTGTCTTTGTGATTGCTAGCAGTGTACGTTCTCGAACACAGACAAACAGCGCATTTAACACGAGGACACACAGCCGAGCCAGTCGCGTTTCCAAGTCGCCATGAGCCGGTGCTGCCAATTTCTCCACTTTGTATGCGATACCGAATGCCCTGGGTGCATGAGCCGAGGTTCAATGGAACAGGTATACTGCAAGTAATCTTTTCGTCTCAATTTTGCTTGAAAAAAAAAACCTGCACAAAGTCACCTCTGACGTAGTCGTGTAGGGGAAGGTCAAATGTATCTTGCGTTCAATCATATATCATGTATTACATCTCGGACAACTAATAACAATTTATTAGTTGTCTGAGGTTACAACTTCTTGATATCGTAGCCAACATAAATTTTACTTTTAACAATACGACTGACCACAATTTACTTGAATCGAGTATAAAAATCGTGGAAACAAAATTGAACTTCAACGGCACGCTATTGACGTACGTAGAGTAAAATAATAATGGGTCTGGAACTAGCATTTGACCATTTGAAATGCAACGAGTGGCTGCATAAATTCTACCATGCTGCAGTTGTAACTAGTTTTCAAATTGTATTTGTTGTCGTCATACAAAACAGACTGCTACATCACACAGGCATGGCGAATCTGTTAACGGAAATGATGGTTGCTCAAGCGAACCTAGTGCTGACGGCACACTATTATCCTGGTTATGCTTATTGTTTTTTCGGTAATGTTTATCATTTTACTTAGTTTTATTGACATAATACAAAATTATAAAATCAAATGTTTGCAGCAAACTAGTTTCGTATCGATATTTATATCATTGGGTTTTCGACATTCCCTTTAGCCTGATGTTTTTTGTTCAACTAAAGTGATTTTATCAAATGCGTTTATGATGTGTCAATGTGATTGATCGAATGACGTCATGAAATTACTAGCCAATCGCAAGTCGCGCAGGGAAGTAAAACAGATGAAGCATCAGACGACAGTGAATGCAACTTGCCGAGTGCGCGAGTGCTATGTTTTTTAAAGATGTTTGGGCTGCACTGTCTTCGAATTCAAAAATGACCCAAGTTGTAGTCTTGGAGATGGATTATTAGACAGTGAATAGGAACCGTCGACACAAGACGATCAAATAAACACAAACGTGAGATTTAAAATCCATATTTGACGTTGCCATGCAGACGACTTTCGACTATATGCAAATTTTTTTACGTCATCCAGATGCATGCATAATTATAGGGCTGTGACAGCCTTACGGCATTTCGCAAACGCATTACGGCATTTGATTACATATAAATCGTTTTAGTTAAAAAAAAAAAAAAAAAAAAAAAAAAAAAAATAGGCTGGAGGGGTTGTGACAGTCTAAGCCTTGGGTAAAACTCATCATATTTTATGGACACCGGTGACGGGTGTATTATGCGTTAACAAAGGCTAGCGTGAATAGAATAGTGAATTTTAGTGGGCAATGAGTCGAATGAAAGTTTGATTAATATGCATGTTCAAAAGGGGGGTTTCAGGTTGTGAGCTTGATTGCATGAGTTTCAAATGTTCATTTTTTGTTCTCTCTACATCGATCTCCATTTATTTATGGATTTTCTTGCATGTTAAAGGGCGGTAGTCGTCGCGCCGCGCACGTGTGGCATTTGTGTTGATGAACATTGATTTTCCCACAATCCAATGCGATTTTCTAATGAAATCACAAGTAGGAGTTTTGCTCCGAGCGCTACTTACACTAATTACCACATTCAACTCCTTCAATATTCACAAAAAATATCAAATTAAAGCTTGATAAACTATCGGTTTGTACCTGTTTGTGTGTGCAACACTCAAAATCGTCATCTTTGTTTATACGAGACCCATGTCAATACCAGACACATGCGTGGCACAACAACCATTGCCCTTTAATATTAGTTGAAAATAAGTAATCGCTCTTGATTTCTATTACGCGTGTAACCAAAACTATACAAAATGTGTTCAATTTTAGGAACAAGCCATGTCCTTTTGCAGAGACGTACATGCCCGCCTTGTTGCCAGTCTCATATTTTCGATTCTCTATATGATATCAGGCGCCATGCTTTCGGCAGTCGGAATTACTGCTTCCTTCAACGACCATTCAAGTTTCAAAGTTGGATGTAATGTTTGGGTCGGAGTTGTGGTGAGTAACATTGCGGACTTGATGCCTCGGTAAAATTAGAACCTGTTGAGCTTCTTTCAAAATGAGAACTCTTATCAAGTAGATACAACATCAACTTTATGGTCAATTTGATATTGAAATAATTTACACAATTTTGATACTGGTGATCGTATAACCGAACCCTTTATTACAGGTTTTCGCTGCTGGCGTCACAATGATAGCATTGAGCATTTTTCCCAGAAAGGAAAGCCACACAACGGTAAGTATTACCACAGAAATATTAAATCTACCGAGATCGAAAGCAGGTTAACATTGCACTAATTTGTATATTGTATAGTGACATGTGGTGGCGCTTTTCGTCGATGAGCGCCACCACATGACGTTTTTTGTGAAACTTCTTTGTTACAGGTTATCCAACAAGCCGCTATGCTGAGCACTTCCGGCATCGTGCTACTAATGTGCTTCATCAACATAATATTACTCGAATATGCAACTATAAATCTGTATCTGACAATCACAACGAAAAAGACTTTGAAAAAAACCTCGGTGACGACAAAGATGAAGAATACAACTACTTCGTTGGTACGTATAATCAAACCACAGTACGCCATGTTCTATTGCTGAATATGAAATTAATCATTAACCATATCTAGTGCAACTGGGCATATTGTTATGAACACAAGCGTTGTGTTCGGGGATCGGGAAACTTCGTCTCGCTTCGCTGATTTCACTTACACGTAGATACCAGATTCGACCCAAATGAATACACAATAGTTCATTACAGATGGTCCAGCTTTATTCACACAAGCAGTCAGACGAGGTAAACCCTCGCTGTAACGTTTTCTCCAGCTTCTCCCTTTACCATGGTTACAAAATCTCCATATTAAAAGTGAAAACAGCCAGTCACTGCAGTGTTTGGCACGATCACGTGATTACCAGCGATGTGTCTCGCGGTTAAAGCCTTGCAAAGTTGCCACTACTAAATACAATAAGTAAACACTCTATTTATCAAATTCCTGTTATATGTTTATAATCGCCTTATTGGGTGGGTGAGCAGGAATTAAACGAACTTAGTTAAATTTGGGGTCTTTTGTTGAAAAGAAATTACTTGCGAATAGAGGTTTACGTTATCTGATGTTAAGCTATGACGTCATAAATATCAATAATTCTGACAGTGGTGATATACGACACACAGTAATGAGCAATGCGTCATCATTTTATTTTCTAATTAGTGAATGGACATATTTTGAAGGAATACTCCCGATTTCTCACTTAATCACGTTTTTCTTTTTCAGTACACTACCTTAGTATATTGGCTACATGTATTGGATTGGCGTCTTCATTCCTTGGATTCGTCTTCAAGTTTTGCACATTGTTTGCCCAGCATCCTCCCCAAACTCTACGCAGGTTGTCAGTTATATCACCAATGCAAAGTAACCTGGAGGTGAGTGTATGTAATTGCAAGGACAGTTAACTGTGCATATTTGAAGCATAATTGTGAATATACACAATATTTCGAATTGTATTTTTGATTTGTTTCACTTGACCCAGTTTTTTAACGTCTCCTAAGTATAGTTCCAAGTCTGTTACAAAAAAAAACACGTCTTCTTGCATTTTAAAACTGGAATGCGACCCAAGAAGTGATAGTCGTACCTTGACTGACGCGCGAAAATATTAATGTAGTGTGGACTGAGATCTCACTATGAATTTCTGTCACATAAAGTGTGTGGCTTTTTTTACATGCACGAGTTTATTAATCGTGATATTTTGTACCTTCTGAAAAAAATAGTAGGGAATTATATTAAATTTGTGAAAAAAAAAACGAATAACAAATATTTGTCCCCTTCCAGTACTCAAAACTCGTTTCTATGGAAACAGTTCTATTTGAATTATTTATATATTACAGCGAGTGATTAATAGAAGACCGTCACTATATACCATATCCGGTCACAAGATGAATCCCCGACTCAAACACAGTTGCTGGGAATACGAATACAATGCTTGCGTCAGTCCGATGGACTCGAACCGCAACCACAGCCACATTCATTCCAACACTGTAGGATTCGCTGAAAATGAGGTAAAATATTGGGCCTGGGGTTGATACTGTGACTGTATTAATAGAAAATGTTGAAATATGACAATGTAGGTATATGAAAAAAACAAAAAACAATAGAGAATTATATTTTATATATTGACTCCGGGAAATTTCCATCGTCTGGTATTGACATTGACAAAAAATTGTAGTTTGAACGTTAATACAAAGAATATTACATTAATGTTTTTCTTTTGA